CCTGTATTGCATTCGTCGAATGGAAGTGCATAGTGATATTTATTGCCATTCTTTTACTATTCTTACTAATTAATCTAGGTAAATAGGTTGCACTTGCTTAGATTCCATTCTTCGGAAGGTTCGAACTGCGGGTTAACCTATATCGAAACCTTAGGAGATCTTTCCGTTGTACTTGAAACATGTAGGCCTATATAAATTTGTCATTTTACATTGTTTGTTTATCATTGTTCCAACCGTTTATCGAGAGAAAATCATTTCTAGCTTTCCTCTTCGTAAAAAAAGTGAAATGATTTGTGTAATACAATTTGTTTTCGTCGCGAATATTTTCTTAATTACGTTTTCAATGCGTGAAATTGATTTTGGTGAGTATTTTATTTTCAAAAAATATCGAAAAGCAATAATGAATATTATAATTTAGTTTTTGCTCTTTTAGTGCTCAGTATTGATCTAATATATTTATATAATTTACATTATTTATTATGAATACAAAACATAATATATATATTGTAAGATGTTTATTTTCATAAAAAGTTCTATTATATTGGGTTAAATTTATAATTTTAAGATATTAACTTTCTGAATCTTTTTATTTCGAAATCAGTGACTTAATAAAGATATTTCTTAATAATATCTTAAAACTTGAAACGAGTTGAAAAGAAATCGTTATGATTATTATAAAAATTAATATATTTTGTTATTAAATAAAAGATATTAACTTTGTACAATCGAAATTAATCTCTTTAATTAATACTTTTTAATCGCTTGGGATATCAAACCGTCAATAACAATCATAAAATCCCTTACTATACCTATTACCTTATTACCATAATTACCTAACCTTTAAAAAATATGAAAACAACAAATTAATTAATTATTATTCCCATACCAGAAAATTCCCTCAAATATCCCAATCCCAAAGTCAAACAAAATAAAACCATAAAATAAAATCCCAATTCCTTAATCTCGAGAACGGTGTTATACCAGATATGAAAACTTCAGGGTCTTCTGCCCTTAAGGTTTCCATATCTGGTCTCATCTTTACTGTTAAATAAAAGTTTATTAGAAACATTCAGTTTTACACATCTACCCTTTGGTAGTCATATCAACTATACACTACATGCCATACATTTTTATTGTAACAAATTTTTTTCTCCAACAATTTAAATGATAATACAGTAAAACCTGTCTATGGCGACACCCACGGTTCTTTCAAAAAGTGGTATTTTAGACAGGTGGTCGTCCAATACAGGTGGTGCTGTAATACCGTATATCCGTACATATTTTGCGCACTTTTTAGCCATTTCTACTAAGCAAAACTCGAGGCTAGCAAATATAAGCGAATTTTTTCAACGATAGGGCTATATTGGTATTGTATTTTATTCTTATCGGATAACCTGATTTACAGGAGTCGTCGTGATATTATAAGACAGATTTAACACCAATATTTTAAAGATTAATACAATACTCGCATTTTCTCGATTATAATGCACACTTTCTTTTTTCCGACTTAATTAATTCGACTCGGTTCTTTTCGTTCGCTCCTCAGTTACGTGTATTACGTCATCAATATACAAGCGCGTCCTATCTCTCCATCACTTTGCTTTTGGTTTTCGTTAGTTTAATCTTATTTTAACTTTAAAAATACTGTATTTTTTAATATTTAATATTTTCTTAATTAATTAAGTACAATAAGAAAAATTATTAATTAATAATAAAACGATTTTATTATTTTTTCTCATTATACGATTTCATTACAATCGCGGAATCGAAAAAGGAAGTAAAACTGATTTTTGCATTAATGCGTTTATTGTTTTTTGAATATTTTGCCTGCGAAAATTACTTGGATATTATTTTTCTAAAAATATCGTGGAAATAAGGTAGGTTGATACAGAAACTATTTATCGCACGTGTACTGTATATGAGCTTCAAAATAAATAAATAAAAATAGATTTTATCAAACGATGAGATCAGCCGATTAATTGTATCGTGTACAATATTTTACACCCCCAAGGAAAATACTGTAGGTCTAGGGTAAAATAAATTTTGTTTTCCCACAGTTAAACTTCGCCGCTAATTGCTGTTGTGATAACTTTAATACGATCTTCTAACGACAGCACTTTGCATTTCGGACATTTTCCAACAAACTGAAATGAATTTCCTTTGTTGCTAGACTAATCTATTAACACCTGCACCTAATTTCGAGGGTGGGAGAAGTGCCCAGGATGGGTTCGAACGAGAGTTTAGACTAATTCATTATATTAGGAGGCGGAAACGTTGTTGAGATGGGCTCTTACAATAGTTTAGAACAGATACATTCGCAAAAGTGGTCGCTTATTACGGGTGTTGTATGTTGCTTCGGACCAAAAATCGATGCCCGCGGTCGCGTTACACAGGTGGTCGTTTAATACAGGTAACTTATACGAAGACTCTATGGATAAACTATTCCGTGCCAGAAATTTTTGCCCGTTTTGACGGGTGCCCGTCGAATGCAGGTGGTCGCCTAAGCAGTTTTCACTGTATATATATATTCATTATTGGATTCCCACACTTAGGTAGACAAATATGTACAGTACACTATTTGCATGGTGGATATGTCGGATTTTATTGCCGAATAACAATTTAAATCTCTTATAATATCTACCGTTTACATTGAGTTCATTTTCTTTGAAACAAACAAAAATTTGACAAAATAAATATTCTACAGTATTCGTATGATTGTTATTATTTATACCATGGGTTTTGTAATAATAATAACATAAAACTTCTATAATATCAACAGTTTACATTGAATTCATTTTCTTTGAAACAATAATTTTACAAAATAATCGTTCCATAGTGTTGATATGAATAATATTTTGTATATAGCATGGGTCGTGTGATAATAATAAATTTACATACTGAGGTAATTTGAACTTAAAACTTAACATTTTACTAAGTGAATGTTAAGTTTTACATTCACTTAACATATGTTAAGTGAATGTAACATCTTCATTCACTTATCATATATTCTTTGAATGTTACATATACAGCTGAAATATAGGATGTAACTATGTTTCCATTATATAGTCAGATAATCTATTGTATTTAAAGTACTTTTCTATCAGCAATATTCTTAGTACTTCATCTGGCCCCCGATTATCTCTACACGAACTTCCGGTCTAGAACAAAAGTCACGTGTTTCAATTAAAAAATTTCCCCAGAACGCAGTTACATAGCTGAGTGGCATCAGTGGCATAGCGTAGTGGGGGCGTCAGGGGCGGCACTTTTAGGGGGCGGCAAAATTTCACAATAAATAATAATAATATCTTGTAAAAATTTGAACCATTTCATTTCATATTTTTGTTACACCTACGATTCGGACCGATTGAAATCAGCATGGAGTTTTTCATTACTTATTCTGTGAAGAAACTGAATTTTAGTCTTTTAAATTGAGATACTTAAATAAGGGGGCGGCGAAATTTTCCTTCGCCCCGGGCGGCTGACACCCACGCTACCCCACTGAGTGGCATGACTTGTTGACGGAAAAAATATCACATACAAGACACTACTAATTTCAGGTGAAGAGCATATATTTTAAATGAAATAAATTAAATATATAATTAAAAATTGCAGTCCGGCATTATGACGATATCACGATAAATACAGTAGACACCTCCCTATAAAACGGGTTCATATAATGCGGATTCGTATATAGCGGCAAAAAAATTGCGACCGTGTTCGTGTAATCACGCTAAAAGAAACTCGTAAAATATGGTAAAACGTCATCGCCGACACGTGTCGCGATCTAGACCAATAGCGGATATTGCACAAACCGTTGAGTTTAAACGAGCAGCGGACCTTCTAAAAACCATTTATTATTTAACGGCCATAAAAATTATATTTATATTATTGATGTCTCCAAAGTTCAGCAAATTTTTCGCAGAAAAATAACTTATCAGAAAACATGCGCCCGTTGTTCGATGCGCTGCTCCGCGACGAAAACAAGCTTAATTAATATTTAAGCAATAGCGTCGTTGAACGGTGCACACTTGGTAAGTAATCCTACAATTTTTTGTTTATAGCATAGTTTATACGGATTATTCCCAAAAAAAATATACGTATTTTGGAAATGTTGAGTCGAATTAGTCTAGGAACCGATTAATTTTATGGAAGAAAACCTTTCAAACAGCCGTAGTCCGTAAACTGCACACGTGCCGGACTGTGATTGGCTCATGTATTTAAGGATCGTAGAACATGAATTTCATAAAAAGCGGAACGTATCTACCGTGTTATAGGGGGGTCGACTGTAATTGCTTGTTCTTTGTTAAATTTAAAAAATGTGTTTTGTCAATTAGTTAATGAATACATTTAAAACCAATAGTGTAATGTAATAAACTTATAAATTTCAACACAGAGCGTCGCAAAAAGATGGGTTGGACTGCCAAAAGCGGTCATGAGCGGAGTTCTTTGTATATACAGTACAGTAGATTCTAGTTAGCATTAACTGTTATAAGTCAGCCTGTAAGGGTTGAGGTTAACAAATAGTTGACATTAACGAGTATTATACAATACAATTCGCCTTAAAGAAAGAAGATAATTATTTTATATTGTTTTATATTGTATANCCGCGATTAAGGCTTACCGTGAAGAACTTGGCTTTTATTATACTATTTCAGATGCGGTTTTTTGCGTTTTTGATTGCGTTTTAATAGGGTACGTCAAGAAAATGTACACTAAGGGATTTTTCGAAAAATTTCCCCCCCACGGGGGAAGTATTATACATTTATAATAGATACATTTTGAGCCACAACAACGCGTGGCGGGGTCTGCTAGTTAAGTTATATAGGAACGGTTTTAAATGAGGAATGACAGCGCTTATAGATGCGCTTATCTTATCTATCTTATCGGCAGTTTTGCAATTTCTTGTTGCATCAAAAAATCGTTCGTCTTATGCAATTTACCGAGAAAATAAAAAAGGAAAAAATAAAGATGATTTACCATAATCTTTGAAGTTTTCTCTATAAAATAATTTTTTTTTCTTGGGCATGGTCGCGCCATGTTCGCTTAAGCAGAAAGAGCAACCTGTCGAAGGGCTTCTAAAAATATTCTCAAACCGAACTTCCTCTGTCCTCTCAGCATGCATTTTCTTAGATCGAATTTAAAAACGTGTTTTATGAAGCGCTTAATACAGTTCTGAAAATAGTAATGCCCCGTTACTTTTGACAGTTTTTGACGTTTCAGTGGAAACCTATACTTTAATGTACCTTTAACTCCCTCGGGGAAAAAGCCTGATCAACGATTACCGTCAACCTTTCTTCTAGTTTGAAGAATATTTATAGTATACAGTACAGTATTACAGAATAGCGATAAATGTCAATATCTCTTCCACTTGTCTGAAAGAATTAACATTATTGCTTTCATAAAGTTTCAAGAAAATATAAGCAAATTTAACTGATTTTGCTCTATTTAAAATTTAATATTTAAAACAGGAAATTTAAAATGTTTCCTCTGACGAACACATATTATACAGACCTTGAAGGTATTGCGTGTTCTTATGTTTTACTGTTGTACTAAGAATTTTTGTATTTAAAATGTTAAAATACAAATGAACTTAATAAGTATTGTTAGATATCAGGCAAAGGCTAAGTGAAGATTTGAATGTTATTTTCATATTTTTAATTAGCTGAAAAGTACAAGGTTTTCAGCTAATTAAAAATATGAAAATAACATTCAAATCTTCACTTAGCCTTTGCCTGATATCTAACAATACTTATTAAGTTCATTTGTATTTTAACATTTTAAATACAAAAATTCTTAGTACAACAGTAAAACATAAGAACACGCAATACCTTCAAGGTCTGTATAATATGTGTTCGTCAGAGGAAACATTTTAAATTTCCTGTTTTAAATATTAAATTTTAAATAGAGCAAAATCAGTTAAATTTGCTTATATTTTCTTGAAACTTTATGAAAGCAATAATGTTAATTCTTTCAGACAAGTGGAAGAGATATTGACATTTATCGCTATTCTGTAATACTGTACTGTATACTATAAATATTCTTCAAACTAGAAGAAAGGTTGACGGTAATCGTTGATCAGGCTTTTTCCCCGAGGGAGTTAAAGGTACATTAAAGTATAGGTTTCCACTGAAACGTCAAAAACTGTCAAAAGTAACGGGGCATTACTATTTTCAGAACTGTATTAAGCGCTTCATAAAACACGTTTTTAAATTCGATCTAAGAAAATGCATGCTGAGAGGACAGAGGAAGTTCGGTTTGAGAATATTTTTAGAAGCCCTTCGACAGGTTGCTCTTTCTGCTTAAGCGAACATGGCGCGACCATGCCCAAGAAAAAAAAATTATTTTATAGAGAAAACTTCAAAGATTATGGTAAATCATCTTTATTTTTTCCTTTTTTATTTTCTCGGTAAATTGCATAAGACGAACGATTTTTTGATGCAACAAGAAATTGCAAAACTGCCGATAAGATAGATAAGATAAGCGCATCTATAAGCGCTGTCATTCCTCATTTAAAACCGTTCCTATATAACTTAACTAGCAGACCCCGCCACGCGTTGTTGTGGCTCAAAATGTATCTATTATAAATGTATAATACTTCCCCCGTGGGGGGGAAATTTTTCGAAAAATCCCTTAGTGTACATTTTCTTGACGTACCCTATTAAAACGCAATCAAAAACGCAAAAAACCGCATCTGAAATAGTATAATAAAAGCCAAGTTCTTCACGGTAAGCCTTAATCGCGGGGGGAATATCGAAAAATCCCTTTGTAGTGTATATTCTGTTGACGTATCCTATTAAAACGCAATCAAAAACGCAAAAAATCGCATCTAAAATAGTATAAATAGAAGCAGAGTACTTTACGATAAGCCTTAATCTTGTCCATCTCCCCCCGGGAGGGGGGAATTTCGACATGTATATTATATAAAAACACGTGCGTATTCGAATGCAGCGTTGTGTCAAAATTTCAAAGGAATCGGTAGGAACAAACGAACATTACATTTTTATTTATATAGATAGATAGATAGAAGATGATCTGCTTTAGTTCATTTTCACAGAAAAGCGTAATGCCTCACAGAAAAGCTAACTTAGGGCGTCGTACTCGTAGCGCCATCTGTTGGACATAAAAGCCTTAACCTAGATCACAGATGATATCATTTAATTTATATGAATGTTTAACGTGTTTAACGGAATAATATACAGCCTATGTCCACCCTGAGGTTCCATTTTAAATATTGGTGAAAGAATTTTTGAAATCGGATGAGTAGTTTCGGAGATTACCTGCTGCAAAGAAACTTACATACATACATACATACAAACATTACCTCTTTATAATCTATACTGTACTAATAATAAAGAGGTAATGTTTGTAAGTATGTAAGTTTGTATGCAGCAGGTAATCTCTAAAACTACTCATCCGATTTCAAAAATTCTTTCACCAGTATTTAGAATGGAACTTCAGGGTGGACATAGGCTGTATATTATTCCGTTAAACACGTTAAACATTCATATAAATTAAATGATATCATCTGTGTTTAAGGTTTTTATGCCCAACAGATGGCGCTACGAGTACGACGCCCTAAGTTTGATTTTCTGTGAAAATGAACTAAAGCAGATCATCATCTATCTATTTATATAAATAAAAATGTAATGTTCGTTTGTTCCTACCGATTCCTTTGAAATTTTGACACAACGCTGCATTCGAATACGCACGTGTTTTTATATAATATACGTGTCGAAATTCCTCCCACTGAAGTGAGATGGTTAGGATTAAGGCTTACGGTAAAGAACTCTGCTTCTATTTATACTATTTTAGATGCGAGTTTCTGCGTTTTTGATTGCGTTTTAATAGGGTACGTCAACAGAATGTACACTAAGAAGAAATTTTTCGAAAAATTTCCCCTCTCCCATGGGGAAATGTTATAAATTTATAATAGATATTGAGCCACAACAACGCGTGGCGGGGTCTGCTAGTATTAGTATAGATATAGATTACTCAAAGTGTTTGGCGCTTTCTAGCCCCTTTAAAATAGAATTTTCCGAATGTTTTATTAACTGGATAGTTTACGTTAGCGAGGGGTCACATTCATATATATGTATAGCAGACTCTCGTTAATATACTTTCGTGTGTATACGTTTTCTTACGTAATAAATAAAAGAATGACTATTTCGAAAACAAAAATGTTTTCATTCGTTTTTCAAAAATGTGTATATATTTAGATAACCTAAAAATTAATCATTTCGGAATTAATTTACACAGTACAATATATAACTTTCTGGGACTTAATTTATAAAAATATTTTTAAATGGAATAGAAAATATTTAGTACTTATATTTACTACGGTTATATAACGTAAAATCTATCGTAGTCACTGTAACTACATTAGATAATATTAAACATTTTAATCGTTGTATTATTGTTGTAGAAAACGGAACCCCTTGTGGAAGGCAGTTTGCAAGAAATGGAAGGATTATAGGAGGAAGAAGTGCAAAAGATGGAGAAATACCTTGGATTGTATGTAGATTTTTATTTATGCAGACATAATTTTTTTAATAAAAATCAATTTTTCTGAATATTTCCATAAATTAATCATTATAGGTGTCTGTTCATCATTTTCCCACGCGTGAATGCGGAGGATCTATTATCTCAAAGAAATGGATTATCAGTGCCGCTCATTGTTTTGACAAGTATGTTAATTTAGAATTAAATCATTGATTTTATTTACGATGCTTATATGTTTAATTTTTATAGCAAAACTTATGCTGGAATGTTTAATTTTTCGAATTCTTTCGTACGAGTTGGAAGTTTATATAAAAATAACCTAGGAAAATCTATAGGCATTGAAAAAATATATATTCATCCAAATTATGATATTCCTCATCGTTATAGTAATGATATTGCATTAATCAAGATTAAAAACGACATTGTATATGATGAATATACTTGGCCTATTTGTTTGGATAGAAATAATGCCACTGTGAATGACAAAATTACCACCGTGGCAGGATGGGGAAACATAAAGAAAGGTTAGTCTTGATTTTTACGTAATATCTGTTTTCAAGTATATTATTATATATTTGAAGTCTGTAAATCCTGACGTATGTTTTATACTCACTTGTCAGTGAATAACTTTACAATTATTTCATTCTTGCTAATAATTAGTTGAAGATGTAAAATCTTTTGCTTTATTTATTTATTTTTTTAATTTAACCATTTAGATGGTCTTGTTTTATCTGATGTGTTAAAGTTAGTTCGTTTACCAATCGTAGAAAATCAAATGTGCCAAAAATGGTTTAAAGATAGAAAAAAGAGGTTAATTGTCGAAGATAATCAAATATGCGCTGGATATAAGGAAGGGAAAAAAGATGCTTGTCAGGTATATAATTAATAACATCGTATAGAGAAGTAAAATTTGTAAATTCTCTAATTTCTTACTTTATGTTTTAGGGTGATTCTGGAGGACCTCAATACATCAAAGAAGGCAATACACACATTCTTGTCGGTATTGTTTCTAATGGTATCGGTTGCGCTCAACCACAATTACCTGGTTTATATACTCGTGTTAGTTCTTATGTATCTTGGATTGATAAGATTATGCAAGACAATTCATAAACATTATATATATTAAGTACTATATATGATTGTATTATGGGAAAGTTTGTAAATACGAATTAATTGCTCAATCGTTCCATTGCAAACATTAAATAACGTTTTTCAGAAACCACTGTTAAATTATTATTATTGTGCATATTACATTATAATAACGATCTAAACGAATTAAAATATTCTGTAATATTTATTATTGTTTTTCTATAATTTGTACAAATTCGCGAAAATAATAGAATTAATTAAATATTTAGAATAAAAGGTATTTAAATTCAATTCGTATTATTTGTATTATTCGAACAATGAAAAATGAATGAATTATTAGGCTATTAATACGTTTATATAATACAAAATATCTTATGTTTTATATTTAGTTATTAAATATCATTGTAAAAACAATAACTAAACTAAATAATATAACATTTGTAACTGAAATAAATATTTAAAAAAAATTATATGAAATATTTAATAAATATAACATTATGAACAATAAATTCATTTTGTTATTTGGTGTGGCCATAAAATCTAGAAACATAGATGGTAATATTTTACTCGTCATCGATAATGCCCTGTGTTCATTGCAATGTCGTGTATCGCATTACCTTATTATGATACAAAATAAATAGCTTATTGATATTGTAAATTATTACAGAATTGTATTTATGCTAAAATTTACTCTATTTTTTAACGTAAATGTTTCTTCAATTAATAATTTAGATCAAGGATTCCAAAACTTTTTGTCAATCACTTTCCGAAATCTATACCGTATATTAATTTGATATAGGCTAGTTTTATTTTTAACTGTTAGAACACTCATTGCCCTATCCCCTATTCTGTTTGTTGAGTTTATGGTAACGCAACACTTGGGCGATCTGACTAGGGGAGGATGCCTTCTGGGAGGTCTTTTTTTAAGGAAAACTGGCCCCTATTTAGGCGTTACAGACGTGGAGAAAACCCGGAAAACTCCACGTGGCCAGCCCGTCCGAGCGAGGCGCGAACCCACGACCGAACCACGATCGACTGTATATCTTTTATTTAATTTTAAAATTTGTTCAAATTTACACCCAAACATTAAAGCTGTTTAAAATATTAGCATTTGGTAAATATACTTAATTTACGTATAATATAAATAAAATTTTAAGAAAGAACAAAACAATAAAATTGGAAATAGTTTTTATATTCATCTTCAGATTTATTACATATGTTATATTAATTCACCGGTATTTAATTTTAAAACAATATTCGTCATTGGCATGCATCAGAAAAGAAACCATAACTTTTGTAAAAGACACTCAATCTAATGTGTGACCTACTTTCTCTAACAGTAAAACGAAGTAAGTTACAGTACAACGATACACATAAACACTAATTATAATAATCAAAACAAATTCTTAAAGTTCTTCTAAAATCCTCCATTCGGTCTTTGATATAGTTCTAGTTAATAGCACTAAATCGGTAGACATGTCTAAATAACAGTCTTACAAACACTAAAAAACATAAATGTTTCGAAATTAGGACTAGATAATTATATGCACAAATAAATTAGTAAGCCTATAATACATACTCTCACTTATATCCAAGTATTATATCCAAAGATCAGTTCTCGCTAATTGTCGAAAATAAATTATTTTTCAACTTTTCTTTCTGTGGCATATTCTGAAACAAGTTCTAAATTCACAGTAAAATTTTCATCTTATATCCATTAAAAACAGCGCATAATGTATCCATACACGAAATAAAAATTTATCGCAGTAAACTTCAAAAAACCGAGAAACACCAAGGAAACAGTAAACCGAACTCTACGAAATCTGCCGCAAACTGATGCATATGGGATAGACTGAAAATACTCCTCACGTGACAAAAGGATAAATTTTTCTGAATAAACGCTAAAAGTTGTGAAAACTTCTTCCATGAAACCCGATGAATTTAATTAATACACGATAACTAAATATGTTTAATATAGATTAATAATTTACCATTATAATTATGCAAATTACATATGAAAAAGATCACTGCGCAAAATCTCCCGCAAACTATGGGATGACTGTAACGTCACGTGCGAATTGAAACTTTCCTGCTAAACACTAAAAATTTTATATAATTATTTTATTAATCCAGTCAAATTTAAATACAGTAATATAAAATGTCTACATCTGTTTAATAAAGATTAGTAATGCACTATCACAAATATGCAAATTAGATGTGAAACAGATCACTGCTGAAAATCTCCCGCCAAGTTGATAAATATAGAACGATCACGTGACCAAAAGCTAACACCAAGAAATATGAAAAAATATGTTTAAAATTTAATGTTTTGAGTACAAATTAATAAATTTTAACAAATGTCATCGTTTCAAATTTAATGTTTCTGTAGAAATTAGTAAATTGTAACAAATTTCATCAAAGACAAGAAAATAATTTCCAGCTTACATAAACTGTACAATAAATGATTATTTCTTCAAAAGAAATCGATATACACGAATAAATAATAATTACTGTATTTAATAATGCTTTTATCCATTTTAAGTCGATATTGTAAAAATTAAGCTATTTAATTTGGCTTTTATTATCTAGAGTTTCCGAATATTTTACTGTAAAATTCAATTTATTCAACAGAAAGGAAGCTATTAAATATAAACAGGACAATACAATAATTTTTACGTAAATTGAGTGTAAATACAGAAAAAAACGAATTATATCAAATATGGGACGAATAAGTTGTCATTCCTCCAACACAGCTTATAATTCATAGTAGTGTCGCAACGAATAGTATATTCGGCCAGGAGCGTGGCCGAATAGCCGAATATTCGGCCAAACTATTCGGTTTGATTAACGCACGTACGAAAATAGGCGCGCAAACCGCATTATGGCAAGAACCCTGCTCTCTATTGGCCCACTGTCACTACGCTTCGCCAATCGCGTTAATTCTTGACAGTTCAGACAAGAGCGTCATGGCAGTATGTAATAAATGACGATATCAAATGTGAATAACAATGAAATGACCTACACGTGTAAATAACGGAAGAACAACAGAGAAGGACCGCGAAGTTAAAATGTGAAAATAAATATGAAATTGAGTTGATAACATAATCGAACGAGTCGAGGCAGCTTATTGGCCCGAAATTTGCGGCCGTCAATGCCAAACAATTGTTGTCATAGACTTTGGAAAGTTAAATGCTTGTAATCAAAGTCACTTAGCGTGCACGGGCGAAAGCCTGGAGTCGTTCGGGCTACCAAGCTGTTTCGAATCTGTGAAATCATAACTGTGACTTATACCGACGTCATATCTGTCTCTTTTCTCCGTTATCACCAGGCTATAAGTCACGTAATTGAAAAATGGGGAATCTACGACGGAAAAGTGACGAATCGAAAGTATCGTGAGGGCATATTGTGATGTATGCATAGGCATACGTGGACTAGAGCGATAGAGGAAAGAGAAAGGGAAGAGCAAAGACGAGCGCTTAAAAAGGATAGACAGGGTCAGACCCTCACATGTGCGACGATTCTCGAACGAATAGGTGTGTACATGTGCTGATCTTTGTAATTATAAATTGTGAATACGAGTGACTAATATTATGTTCTTTTTTATTTTGTGCATGTTATAAGTTATAAATAAATATAAACAAACAACATTAACCCGATAACATTAAATCTAAATACCAAAATGATTAATTTACTGTGTTTTTGTCATTTATTACTCCTCTTTTTAGGTATTCGGTATTCGGCAGAATAGCGAAAAATAGGCCGAATACCGAATAATTACCGAATATTCGTTACATCACTAATTCATAGTCATTTTTTTTTTGCTTGGTTTCGACTGTTTTTTGTGGATAAGAAGTTAATGTTTTAGGATAAAAGTACGTATTCTTAGTGAAAGAAGATGAAAGTATCAAAATATAATATTCAAACGTAAAAATATTTATATATGTCGATATTAGAAATGTATATATTTTTCGATATTTGAAATAATATCATGACAAAAACATTAGATATATGAAACACGGGCCATAAACAACTTCTTTCTGTCAAATAAATTATGGATTAGACAGGTTTATTTAGAAAAATTCAATCGCGAATACCTGACGTTAAATATACAGACATTACAGTATGCTTTTTACATGAGAGTATATGTACAGGATAACCATGCATGGTGATTCACGTGCCAGATTGGTGTCTGGGAACTAATAACTTTTCGAGAGACCTCAGTCAGCTTGTGGAGTTGGCTCAACTGCACGGTCGGTCCGGTCTCCGCACTAACCGGTCTCTGAGATTAACAGAGAACACAGAGCTTTACGCTTATGCGGGCTTCCCAAGTGCCTGAGACAACCGTGTATCAGTCTCTTCCGCTTCTCTCCTTCGCCCCGCAATTTGAGTTTTTGGAACGGGGACTTCCGACCAATCATAACCCTTTTTTATGCCCGAACAGCTTACACTCGGGTCCGCCGTCATCCTACCAGAGTGGAGTTTACACAAACGTCCGCCACTTGTTTACGTTCGTTTGTTTACCATATAGCAAATGTACTACCGTCTGACTGCAGGTGGGTCCAATTAACAAAGCCGGCGCTTCCTTTGTTTTCCCTTGTTTACAAGTCAATACCTTACAAGTGGTATTACCCGACCGCACATGGGTCCAATTGACAAGGTCGCGCCTCTTTTGTCCCCACTCTGCTAAAAGGTCACTACTTTACACTATGTGTAATATATAATAGGCCTGCATACTACAGAAAGAGTAATAAAGGAACGTCAGTCATTGTAACTAATGTATTATCGAAAGTTTTATTCATATAGATAATTAATTTTATCAAGAAACATTTCTCCAGAAGAAAATTGTCGATATTTCACGTAAATATAAGTAAATTTTATTATAATTTAGATAAAACACATTTTTCCCCACGCATGGCTTCTTCCCCTCCCTCCTAATCTTACATTTGAAACATTCCATTTCATAATTTGATGTAATAATTACGATTAAACTGACTTCTAAATAAAATAATAATACTTAAAGTAGGTTAATATATATTGTAATGGGTCTCAGGTGTATTCATAAAATATTAATAATCGATATAATAATATTTTGTCACATGCTCCATGTGTTAAAGCAGTGTTTCTCAACCTCTAACGAATCATCGCCCCTTCAATAAAACCGTTACGTAGTATCTCCCCCTTCACTTCAAAATTCCGATGCCGTGGGCCAGGGCTAACGCCAAATTCGTACTGCATTGAATAGACTAGTGAGTAGTGTAATGTTATTTGTTTAATTACTGTATTGTACGATATAACGAATAAAATATTTAATTAATCTTAATATAATGTTTTACTATATCGCCCAGAAAATTGTTTTTCGCCCCCCCAAAATATAAATTGTTACAAATCGTCCCCTCAACATGGAAAAACGCCCACATGGCGGCGATATCGCCCCCCGTTGAGAAACACTGTGTTAAAGTTTGTAGCTGTAATCGAAGGTAATGTATAAGGAAACAAAATGTTTATATTATCAATAGAAGCCAGAAGAAACAGACGATCACAGATACGAATATCAAGGACATTGTATAATTCTTTTCAAATTTCTAATATTATACCCAAAAATTTTAAATGTTGCTCTTATGTATTCATAAATATTTATTTGCCCAACTGTTACCTAAATTGGTTTAAAATTTGTACAAACTTATTTTGTACGTTCCACAATTTACGTTCATTTCCACATAAATGAGTGTGAAGGAAAGCGGAAACGGAACTACGTCAACTTCCTTACAACTTCTCTGGCGATGTATTGTCACGTGATTTGAAGTTGTTCAATGAACAGCTTTTTGAAATGTTTAAACACGCTTCGTAAAAGTGGTAGTTTTGATAATCAATAATGACCGAAAAGTTGATATAAAAAGCGACTTTAAAATTTTTGCTTTTCAATGTTTAGCAAATTTGTAAATGAGGCCAGAATCTAACATAAGCAGCGAGGAAAATGTTCGTATTCGAAATAGTGTTATAGAAGCTTATATAATTTATCTAAATGCTTTATTTTACATATATTTTTTTTGTAAATATTTCTTTTATCAAATAAAATAATTTGTGCATCTTGTAAATTGGATGCAATGTTCTGTAAATGAGTTTAGACCAGAACAGATTACCGCTTACTGAGAGATGACCTTCGGATTATCACGTGACCTACAGTTCTATCTCACCATAGCGTTATAAAAACACAATCTTTTTTCTTTATCCGAGCGCTATTTATAATTTGGAATAATTAAATGTTACAATAAACATTTTAAAACTTTTCGAAATTCGATTAATTTAAAAATTAGATCGTTAAACCGGACACGTTGTAAATCTGTCATAGAATAAGTAATTAGTTATTGATACTTCCATAAAAACTAATTAATCCGCCTGCTTTTCCCGCGCAACTAGGTGAGTGAGTGTTCTACGTATGGTAGAGTGACGTCATTACTATAAGTAATAAAAATTTTACAAAACACTAAAATAGAAATATAAAAATTATTTTATTTGTAAAGAAAATCAGAATTTATATTTAAAAATTCACAATAATCCCGACAATGAAAAAAACCGCGAAACCCTGAAATATTACAATATATACATGGGCGAAAGTTATGATGTAATCCCTAAAAAACATTATTCTTCACAAAAAAATTAGATAATTGTTATGAATAAAAGCTGTAAGAGAATTATTGCTTAAAATAAAAGAAAATAATTTTAAGGATATATCAACACACACACATGTATATTTGTACATATGTAGATATTTTAAATGTATAAATTTCTCTCACTTTGTATAGTATTATGTTTAATTTTTTTATTTCAAATATCATTAGAATATCAATAGTTTATTTCTGACTTTTTACATTATACAGTAGTCTATACATAGAAATTCTTTATACAGTAATATTTTGTTATAATATTCAGAGGATAAATCTGTGAGATTTCGTACTGTTAATATTCTACTTTAATTACATTTTTATTGGTATTCAGTAAGATTCTTTACATGTAATTAGCCTCTTCAGGTGTAGACAGCAGGTATGGCTCCCATGAGACTCTGTAATTACTCCTTCAATGCTTTCAGTTGCATTGACAGATTTATATAGGGAACAATAGGGCTTAACTCCCTACCCATTTCCAAGAAAACTTATTCGAAAATAGCTTTATCACTATATGAATAATGAAATGCGTTCACTGTATAAAATTTAATCAAATAAAACGAACAACCATTGAAGTTCAATCACTCCTCTGCCCCCTGTCTGACTTTGTCCGATTTGTCATAACCATCTCTTTCCCTTTCTTCCACTGTTGACTTTATTTATGGACAGCCCTAATTAAATTAGTCAATTAAAAATACATTCTGTAAATCATTATATTACTGTTAAAAATATGTGATGGAAAAGAATAGTTATTTTATGATGAGATGAACTTTTATTACAATAAGCTATATCACAAATTTATGCAGTTTTAACAAAACACGTCTAAAGCAATTTGTTGCTGTTAAAATGTCATCACCAGTGACAAGCGTTGATGGGATAACGAATCTCACCGGAGTCATAACTGTTTTCTTCTGAAGAGGCAGGATACCTACTTAGCATCAACAAACAACTTAATTAAAATTGGGAATTTCTACTTTTAATCTTCTATTTTAATTAAATTGTTTACTGGTAGTAAGTTTTAAAAATTGCGATGTAATATAACGTAAGAACTTGGAAATAAAGTATTAATATTCTAATTATATTTGGAAGAACAGAAAATGCTAAAAATATTATTAGATAAACTTATTATCTTAATGAGAAATTTCTGCATTAAATGTGTATATATGTATAATAAATTACATATAAGTTTTCTATATTTGATTTATAAATTATATAAATCCAATATAGAAAATTTATATAATTAATACAATATTATCTTATATTGTTTTATATAGGAATGGAATGAAACCAACACGGAAGAAATCAAGTTTTTTTTCGGCTTATTAATTTTACAAGGAATACTACAAAAACCTACCAATTCGTCATTCTTTTGTACTACAAACGACCTTTTTTTCGAAAACATGACAGAAAATCGATTTTATCTACTCAGAAAATTTTTACATTTTAATGACAATACACTTTTTGACGCAACAGGAACAAACGGCTGTATAAATTAAAACCTGCTTTTCATTATTTACTTCGGAAATGGCAATCAGCCCACACTCCCTGAACAAACATCAGTATTGACGAGAGCCTATTATTATGGAAGGGTAGATTAAAGTGGAGAGTGTACATCCCCAAAAAAAGAGCCCGTTACGTGATGGAGTCATTTCAACTTTGCGAGTCCTCCACTGGTTACGTATATAACATGATAATGTTGTATACAGGAAGCGAAACAGAGTTAAAAAAAACCGTCCAATGATTACATTTATCAAAGCAGCTAAAATCAACAAAAATAGTATTATGTTTGATGGATCAATTATTAAATAAGGGTTATATGTTATTCGTAGACAATTATTATACTTCTCCTGTACTTTTTGATTTGTTAGTTGATTTTAAAACAGATGCGGTCGGTACGCTAAGAAAAAAACAGAAAGAGCTGCCAGAAGACATTAAAAAAAAAAAAGAAATTGAAGAAAGGAGATTTCATCGCATAGCAAAAAGTTGATAACGTTGAAGTGGCTGGATAAGAAGGAAGTGTGTATGCTATCGACCGTACATGGTGCTGAAATGGTCCCAATACAAACCAAAAGTAAGTCTATTCAGATAGTAATTTCATATTAGCCAAGTTTTAAAATCTGTTTATTTTTGAATTGTAAGGTGGAGAAGAAAAATTAAAACCACTTGTCTGTGTGGAGTTCAGTAAAGGAATGAGAATAATTGATCTAGCGGACCAGTGTATTACAACATACTCGATTGCGAAGACTCGCCTAAAAAAATATTATCACAAAATGTTTCATCACCTGCTGGATTTTATAATCTTCAATTCTTTTATCCTGTATAAAAAGTGTGGAGGTAAATATGTTTGCATTTTAATCGCTTTTATGCGTTATATATTGTAATATAATGTAATTCAGTATATATTTATATATTTCAATACATATAATTTTACAGGAACGCTTACTCAACTGAACTTCCGGTTGCAACTTGTGGACCAAGTTACGGAGAAGTACTGTACATCGGTGGAGTTACGAAACCAGTGCCTAGAAGAAAACACATGCAGGAAATTACCCCAAACAGACTCCTGGAGAGGCATTTTCTGAGAGAGAATTGATCGACAAGTACCAAAAAGCATGCAACAAGAAGATGCATCGTTTGTATCAAAAAAGGATCTAAGAAAGAATCAACATATTCCTGTAAACAGTGTGGCGTTCCCCTGTGTGTAGATCCTTGCATGGAAATTTATCATACGATAAAAGATTTCTGGTATATACATATGCTTTTGTCAAGTTATTTTTTCTACACTATTATATAAACAGTAAATGTTAAATTTACGTGTACATATATTTCCAAAGAATACGAGTGCGAGATTCGAGGATAAGAATTTCTACAAGATATTTATTATTTTACACTTATAATTTCAATTTGAATATTCCAGATTTTATTCATTATTTAGTATACTTTTAAATTTAATATATTTTTATTATAAACACTAATTCATCACAGCATTTATTAATAAATATACTTATACACGTTTTAAACAATTTTATATTTGAATTTTTATTGAATATAATTGCTTATGCAGTGGTGCCTCGTATAACGTACTTAATCCGATCCAGGTGCTCGTCCGTTAAGTGAAAAGTCCGTTATACGAAACGCATTTTCTCATAGAAATACATGTTAAAACATATAATTCGTTCCGCAGCATAAAATAATCGTACTGTACCATAAAAAAATATAAAAATGGAGCAATCACCAATTATGCCGGGTAGTCAGACGTTGTGAGGAGGTAGAGGAACACTTTCTTCACACATTCATACAGACACTTTTTACACATTGCAACAAGTCTTTTTTTTAGCGTTTTTTAATCAGAGTCTGATTCAGGAGAGGCTACCGGAACTTGCAGGGTCAACTCCTCTTGTTCCATCCTTTGTTTTTTCCCTGCTGGCTTCTTGTAAAACATGTCCAAGGTGGTCTGTTTCTCTCTCTTCAACATCTGTCGGAAATGACGGGCAAGGGTGTCATTGTAGAGATCATTGATAATGTTGGCCTCAGCTGTGTTTGGATAGTGAGTGTTGGTAAACTCCTGAACCTCTTCCCATTTGACAAGGAAGTCCTTGTCAACTTTCACTCCTGATGATTTCTTGCTTTGTTTCGATTGAAATCACCTTTGTGTTTTAGAAGCCATGATTTGCATAACACTTGAATAAATGTAAATACCCTGTACTGAGGATTTACCTAAACAAGAAAGCAAGCCGAATCGCAACGGGAGCTCTGTACTTCAGATATATTAAAAATATATTCTAACAATATTAATATATTCTTAAAATAGCAGATTGTCATTGGCAACGGCAAAAGAGTGGAAACATGATTCGCACGTGTTCGCAGAAAGTCCATTGTTCGCCTCACGTAACTGCCGAACAGAAAGTCCGTTGTTCGCAGCGTCTGTTATTCGAGGCGTACGTTATACGAGGCACCACTGTATATTTAAAATTAATTAATTTTTTTTATAAACTAAATTTCTTACAGCGATTCATTAATAACAATATTATTTAAGTTTTAAACAATTTTATATTTGAATATAATTGATTATATATTTAAAATTAATTTATTTTTTTAAGTTTTCCATATTTGATATATACCTTGTCTCTGCTTCTACGTTTCATAAGAGATGATCTTTTCTCGCGAGTAGATTGTTCGGCGAACAAATTTGTTTGATAAGAAAATGTTTAGTAAGCTCATCATCGAAAAAATATTCAAATATCTGGAGTGCACTAGGTTTCTCGCCGAAATCAACGAGCAATTCTAAAATTGTAGAAAATGTTTTATATATATAATATTCTGACTAACATTTTTCTATAATATTATATTTAAAATATATTTAACTTTATATCACTTTTCGTTCTAGTGGTGATAAACAGTATATATATATTTGACTTGTTCGAAATTATTTTTATTCGTACCTTCTGCGAAAGTGGAAAAAACTTCTCTTGGTTCTCCATGTGGTATCCAAGTCTCACTTCCGAACGGTTAATAAATGGTTTCTTTTTCGTCTTCGCTAGATGATCCTAGTATCTCTTCTTGTCGTCCTTCTCCCTCCTCTATTTCGTCGTCGGAGGACAAATCACTTTCGCTCTCGCTACTATGAACTAGCAACTCACTGATACATGACATCTGTAGCTGTTTTTCAGAGCTTGGCCCAGCAATTGCGGATGGATTCATTTTACAAAATGCTTAAGAACAAGTAAGAAATAGAAGATAATAAAGAATGAGCGTTCTTTAGTAATGTCTCTAAGCCAATCAGCTTGGAGAACTGTTTAGACTAACCAATAAGGCGAAAGCTAACATGGGGGCGTTTTTGAAATATTTTTCCAGTTATAGAATAAATTGAATTTTAATTTATAAATGTAATCTGTAATTATCCATCCAAAACTTTAATATCTCATCTTGAATATATTTTAAATTTATATTAAATATATATTTAATATATACTGTAAATTTATTATAATAATTTGACTGAAAACAACTCATTGCATTTCTAAACTAACTATCTGTAAAATTGCCTAGTAATATTGCCTAAACATTTAGAAGCTTTAAATTTTTTAATTATCTATTGAAAAACACAAACATCTTTATGTGTATAATGCAATAATTCTAAATTCGTGTTTTTCTTAGTTTTGGGATATAATGCATAAATGCAATAAAGAAGCGTAAGCCTTCTCTTTCACAATTTTAATAATTTACAAAAACCTATTTAACGTTTGGTTACAAGATAAAAATTTTGAATAAATTCGACCTATAAATAACTATCGAGTATAGTACAGTACATTTACAGTACGTAAAAATCAATTACTTATCACAGTTATACTAAATTATTTTTAGAATTAAATCAATTATTAAATTGGGTCAGTATGTACTGTACATACATGTATATGTTGTATATATTTAGATATTAAAAAGTAATTTATTNTACCGACGTAAGGTGAGGTATACCTGTATTCCTAGAACTAGTACATTTTGAAGGAAAATAGTACATTTTTTGAAGGCGCTTCAGTACGTTTTGAAATTTCATTGCGGCAACACTGATGGTGATACAGAATTGTAGGTCACGTGATAATCCGAAGGTCATCTCTCATTAAGCTGTGATTGTTCCGGTCTAAACTCATTTACAGAACATTGCATCCAACTTACAAGATGTACAAATTATGTTATTTGATAAAAGAAATATTTACAAAAAATATATGTAAAATAAAGCATTTAGATAAATTATATAAGCTTCTATAACACTGTTTCGAATACGAACATTTTCCTCGCTGCTTATATTAGATTCTGGCCTTATTTACAAATTCGCTAAACATTGAAAAACAAAAATTCTAAAGTCGCTTTTTATATCAACTTTTCGGTCTTTATTGATTATCAAAACTACCACTTTTACGAAGCGTGTATAAACATTTCCAAAAGCTGTTCATTGAACAACAACTTCAAATCACGTGACATCGGCAGAGAAGTTGCAAGGAAGTTGACGTAGGTTCCGTTTCCGCTTTCAGACTCATTTATCAAAAGATCGTAAATTGTGGAAGGTACAAAATAAGTTTGTACAAATTTTAAACCAAGTTAGGTAACATTTGGGCAAATAAATATTTATAAATATATAAAAGCAACATTTAAAATTTTTGGGTGAATTATTAGAAATTTGAAAACAATTATAGAATGTCCTTGATAGTTATATCCGTGATCGCCTGTCTCTTCTGGCTTCTATTGATAATATAAACATTTTGTTTTCTTATATCTTATTATCAATTACAACTACAAACTTTAACACATGGAGCATGTGACAAAATATTATTTTATCGATAATTACTTTTCTATTAATACACCTGAGACCCATGACAATATATATTAACCTACTTTAAGTATTATTATTTTATTTAGAAGTCATTTTAATCGTAATTATTACATCAAATTNAATACAGTAATTAAACAAATAACATTACACTACTCACTAGTCTATTCAATGCAGTACGAATTTGGCGTTAGCCCTGGCCCACGGCATCGGAATTTTGAAGTGAAGGGGGAGATACTACGTAACGGTTTTATTGAAGGGGCGATGATTCGTTAGAGGTTGAGAAACACTGCTTTAACACATGGAGCATGTGACAAAATATTATTATATCGATTATTAATATTTTATGAATACACCTGAGACCCATTACAATATATATTAACCTACTTTGAGTATTATTATTTTATTTAGAAGTCAGTTTAATCGTAATTATTACATCAAATTATGAAATGGAATGTTTCAAATGTAAGATTAGGAGGGAGGGGAAGAAGCCATGCGTGGGGAAAAATGTGTTTTATCTAAATTATAATAAAATTTACTTATATTTACGTGAAATATCGACAATTTTCTTCTGGAGAAATGTTTCTTGATAAAATTAATTATCTATATGAATAAAACTTTCGATAATACATTAGTTACAATGACTGACGTTCGTTTATTACTCTTTCTGTAGTATGCAGGCCTATTATATATTACACATAGTGTAAAGTAGTGACCTTTTAGCAGAGTGGGGACAAAAGAGGCGCGACCTTGTCAATTGGACCCATGTGCGGTCGGGTAATACCACTTGTAAGGTATTGACTTGTAAACAAGGGAAAACAAAGGAAGCGCCGGCTTTGTTAATTGGACCCACCTGCAGTCAGACGGTAGTACATTTGCTATATGGTAAACAAACGAACGTAAACAAGTGGCGGACGTTTGTGTAAACTCCACTCTGGTAGGATGACGGCGGACCCGAGTGTAAGCTGTTCGGGCATAAAAAAGGGTTATGATTGGTCGGAAGTCTCCGTTCCAAAAACTCTTAAATTGCGGGGCGAACGAGAGAGAAGGGCAAGAGACTGATACACGGTTGTCTCAGGCACTTGGGAAGCCCGCTGAGCGTAAACAGAGAGAGTTCTCCTCTGTTAATCATCTCAGAGACAAGTTAGTGCAGAGACCGAACCGACCGTGCAATTGAGCCAACTCCACAAGCTGACAGATCTCTCCAAAGGTTATTAGTTCCCAGACGCCAATCTGGCACGTGAATCACCACGCATGGTTATCCTGTACATATACTATGTTTTCTAACTTGTACTTTCTACAACTGTAAATAAACTGTAAATATATTCAATTTGAGGTGGAGGTGTGCTTTCCAACGAACCCGATTCACTACATCGAGTCGTGATACACAGGAAACCAACTCAACGAGACGGAGTTTGGAAAGAACATTCACAAAGATCTTCACTCATAGTTTCCTAGATTATAGCATAATAATGTGTAAAAAACTGAAAATTCTGTTAATTTGTAAACGCAGATACTCTCACATAAAAAGCATACTGTACT